AAAAAAAAAAAAAAAAAAAAAAAAAAAAAGAAAAGGATGTAAGTTCTGGAGGAGGAGACGGATGATAAACAAGGAAACCCTAAGGACAGCAGAATGATAAATACGACAGGGAAAAAAAATCAGAAGGGAGGGAGACAGGAAATGTCAGTGGAGGCTTGACCAGGGAAAGGATAGTTGAGACTTGCAGATCGCAAGGAACTGAGGATGAGCCACGTGGGCCTCTGGGGGAGGAGCCTTTGCGGTGGAGCAAGTGCAAAGGCCCTGAGAGCAGAGTATCGCCCACGGGCTTCGGGGTCAGCAAGGCGGCCAGTGAGGAGGGGGCATATGGAAGACAAAGCCACAGTGAATGGGCAGAGGCGTGACCATGGAAAGCCTCACGGTCGTTGCCTTTTACTCTGAATAAAAAGAGAGGTTGGAGTTTTGTGCAGGGGAATGACATGATCTTGCAAGACGCATTTTTGCTGCAGTTCTGAGACAGCAGAGGGGCAAGAGAGAAATAGAAAACAATGAGGTTATGCAGTCGTGTAGGCGGCGGGGAAGGCTGCCTCCCCCAGCGACTGGCGGCCAGGCGTTAAACTGTGTTAAACTGGTTGTAAACTGAAGGCAGGGCAGGCACGGTTCCCCAAGGGCCAGATGCGAGAGGGAGAAGCAGCAGCTAGGGGACACTGCAGCTTCTGGTCTGAGAACCTGGAAGAACGGGTTTGTCAAGTGGCGTTTGGACCATGCACAACTTGGACCTGTTGGCAAAGGAGAGGTAGCTGGTCTGTGGAGAAAGATACAGAAAAGCAAAGCAGCACATCTGGAGAAGAACAAAAGATGGAGACGTTCTGAGTGTTGAAATCCCCACTTCCAGTTCATGCCCAGTGCCAGTTGCATTCCTGTCCTTGGTTTCTCTGACATTCAGTTGTCACAAATTGACCTTCTGCCTAACTTGATAGGGCTGGGGATCAGTTCCTTATACATTTTTTTTTTTTTTCTGAGACAAGTTCTTGCTCTATCACCCAGGTTAGTGTGCAATGGCACAATCACAGCTCTCTGCAGCCTTGAACTCCTGGGCTTAAGGGATCCTCTGGCCTCAGCCTCCCAAGGAGCAGGGACTATAGGTGTGCACCACCATGTCCAGATAATTTTGTTTTTGAGATGGAGTTTCGCTCTTGTTGCCCAGGCTGGAGTACAATGGCGCGATCTCAGCTCACTGCAAGCTCCACCTCTTAGATTCAAGCCATTCTCCTGCCTTAGCCTCCTGAATAGCTGGGATTACAGACGTGTGCCACCATGCCTAGGTAATTTTGTATTTTTAGTAGAGACAGGGTTTAACCACGTTGGTCAGGCTGGTCTCAAACTCCTGACCTCAGGTGATCTGCCTGCCTCGGCCTCCCAAAGTGCTGGGATTAAAGGCTTGAGCCACTGCGCCTGGCTGGTTTCTGATACTTCAGATCCAAAGTCTTATCCTCCAGGGGGATGGGAGTGAGAATTTGGAAATTACAGGCCCCGGGGTGTGGAGCCAGCAGAGAGGAAGGAGGGCACTGGTTGTGAACCTGGGCAGGGCTGGCAGCCGGCAGCTCTTGTGCAGCTCTGTTTGTCATCTCTTGAGGCCCAGCTCATGTGCTCTGAAAGCTGGAGCTCTAGGGCCTCAGTGGCAGAAGGTCTGGGGTTAAAGTGCGCTGGCTGCCCTGAGATATCTGGGAAGAGGCTATGAGAGAGCGACATGCTCCAACTCCAGGTAACTGACTTAAAAGCGAACAGGACGGGGCCGGTGTCGTGGCTTGCACCTGTAATCCCAGCACGTTGGGAGGCTGAGGCAGCCGGATCACCTGAGGTCAGGAATTTGACACCAGCCTGACCAATATGATGAAACTCCGTCTCTACTAAAAATACAAAAAAATTAGCTGGGCATGGTGGTGCGTGCCTGTAATCCCAGCTACTCAGGAGGCTGAGGCAGGAGAATTGCCTGAACCCAGGAGGCGGAGGTTGCGGTGAGCCGAGATCGTGCCATTGCACTCCAGCCTGGGAAAAAAAAGCAAAACCCCGTCTCAAAAAAAAAAAAAAAAAAAAAAAAAATGAATAGGACACAACCGTTTCTGTGTAAAGCCAGGGAGTCCAATAATTGAGAACATTGTGACTGCTCTTGTAGCCATATTCCCTGCTGTTTCTAGAGCTAAATTACTATAGAAATTGTGGGCCAGGTGTGGTGGCTCACACCTGTAATCCTAACACTTTGGGAGGCTGAGGTGGGTGGATCACCTGAAGTCGGGAGTTTGAGACCAGCCTGACCAACATGGAGAAACCCCATCGTCTCCACTAAAAATACAAAAAATTAGCCACGCATGGTGGTGCATGCCTTTAGTCCCAGCTACTTGAGAGGCTGAGGCAGGAGAATCGCTTGAACCCAGGAGGTGGAGGTTGCAGTGAGCTGAGATTGGGCCACATCACTCTAGCCGGGGCGACAGAGCAAGACTCCGTCTCAAAAAAAAAAAAAAAGAAAAAAAGAAAGAAAAAGAAATTGTGGTTCCCTGGCTACTGGAATAGGGGTATTTAACAGATGCCAGAGAAATGAGGGACACTGTAATCCCAGGGCCACTAGGAGACAGATAGCTAGACAGATGGGGTAGCGTCTCCACCCTGAGGCTGTGCCAAGCTGCTGCGAATCCCAGCGCGGAAGTTCCCTTGAGCGGGTGTGGTCATCAAAGCCTATGACTTGATAAGATTTCTGACAGCAGTAATTATTAGTCAACAGGCAACCAAGAGAAAACCATTAGCACCATGAAAACTGCAAACCTGGCACCAGGGCCAGCCACTGCTCCCCAAGGCAACCCACCAGCCTGAGGGTTAGTCACTCTACAGATATTTGTTGAGTGCCTACTGTATGCCATTTGCAGTTCTAAGCAGCCGGGACACAGCTGGGGACCAATGCAAGGCCCTGACCCCACAGAGCTGACATCCTGCTGGTTCCGGCACCAATGGGAATAGATTCTGAAGTGACACAGCCCACCCTGCCACAGGGAAGCCCATGTGTTTTCTCAACACAGGTCCTGAAGGATCCCTGGCAAGGGGTGCTCTTCCAGCGAACGGGACCCGGGCAGCGCATTTCCTGGCCTCAGCGCTTGCTACGCTATCAAAAGATTTGGTCAACAAATAGACACTTGTTTGATTATTGAATCCTTTCATTTAAGGTTCACTGGATGCTTCAGACTGTCAGCCAATGACTTGAATTTCCCTTACCTTTTTTTTTTTTTTTTTTTTTGGGTGGGTTTTTTCTTTTTCACCCGGGCTGGAGTACACACTGAAACCTCCGCCTCCTGGGTTCAAGCCATCCTCCTGCCTCAGCCTCCCCAGTAGCTGGGACTACAGGTGCCCGCCACCACATCCAGCTAATTTTTGTATTTGTATTTGTATTTTTTATTTATTTTTTGAGACAGAGTGTTGCTCAGTCGCCAGGCTGGAGTGCAGTGGCACAATCTCGGCTCACGGCAACCTCCGCCTCCCGGGTTCAAGCGATTCTCCTGCCTCAGCCTTCCGAGTAGCTGGGACTACAGACATGCGCCACCATGCCCAGCTAATTTTTGTATTTTTAGTAGAGGCAGGATTTTACCATGTTGGCCAGGATGGTCTCCATCTCTTGACCTTGTGATCTGCCCGCCTCGGCTTCCCAAAGTGCTGGGATTATAGGCGTGAGCCACCGCGCCTGGCCTAATTTTTGTATTCTTTAGTAAAGACGAGGTTTCACCAGGTTTGCCAGGGTGGTCTCAAACTCCTGACCTCAAGTGATCCACCCGCCTGGGGCCCAGCCTTTTTTTTTCTTGAGACAGAGTCTTACTGCGTTGCCCAGGCTGGAGTGCAGGGGTGTGCTCTAACTAGTCTCGAACTCGTCAGCCTCAAGTGATCTGCCTGCCTGGGCCTCCCACAGAGCAGGCCTGAGCCACTGTGCCGGGCTGGAAGAGTGATTCTTAACGCACTGTAACTGAGAATCATACTGTAAACAAGACATGCTGTTTGGAGAAATGGCCTAGCTCTTCCCATCTGAAAACGTCCCATTCTCTGACTTGACTCCTCCACTTCCCCTTCCGTGCAGTCACTTGCTAGATCACCACAGAGTGTCCCCCGGGATGCCCGAGGGCTCCTCACTCGGCGCCTTGCCTTCCGCCTCGCTGCCCTCAAATCCACCTTCCCCAGGCCAAGTGGGTGAAAGGGCGCGGGGGGCGTTTCCCGCGGCTCTCGGGGCAGCCCCCCCCACACACACACAGCCTGCCCTGCTTTTCCTCTCCCTCACCCGCTGCTTTTGGGACACGTCAGTGTTGCACCTAAGCCTTGCACATGCTGTCCCCTCACCCGGGACACTCTTTCCTCATCCAAACCCAGTGATTTGCAAACTGTTGTCCGGGCTTCGGCTCAGGCATCACCTCCTCCCACCCGCCTTTCTGGAGCCCCCACTTCTTGGCTAGGGGCCCTGGCCTGTTACCCCTTTTAATATTCAGTTGCAGCGCTTACCGCATTAACACTGGCGTGCTTCCCCATGAAAATGACTAGTTATTTGTGAGTTAAAACAGTCTCGAGCTGGGCGCAGTGGCTCATGCCTGTAATCCCAGCACTCTGGGAGGCGGAGGGGGGCAGATCACCTGAGGTCAGGAGTTCAAGACCAGCCTGGCCAACGTGCTGAAACTCCATCTCTACTAAGAGAAAAAAAATTAGCCAGGCGTGGTGGCGTGCACCTGTAATCCCGGCCACCCAGGAGGCTGAGGCAGGAGAATGGCTTGAACCCGGGAGGCGGAGGCTGCTGTGAGCCGACATGATGGCGCTGCACTCCAGCCTGCGCGACAGAGTAAAACGTCTCAGAAAACAAAAGTCTCAGGGCTGCATCCTGGCCATGGTGCAGAGGCATCCAGTAAGCGTCCTTGAATCTAGGAGCCACCAGGAGGACTCCCCCTGGACTTTGCTGTCAGGCTTGTTCCACTGTAGAGCTGTGCTCATTTCTTCCCGTCATGAGCAGCTGGGCTGGGGGCCTCAGGGTGAGGACCATGTCCCCACCCACCTCCTCTTTAGCAGGGCAACGGTGAGTATTCCCAGTATTCACACCCCTCACACTAGCAGCCAGGAGCCAGTTCTTGACTTATGGCCAAGAAAATCACTTGTTTCCTGGCGTGGCTGTGGCCTGGGATGCCCCATATTCAGGGGCAGCCACTTCCTCCTGCCCACCCCTTCTAACTCTGCCCAACAAATGGGATGAGTGTCCCTGCTCCACTGGCTGCTCTTCCTCTTTCCCCAAATGGTTTATTTTGCTAGAATAGTCTTTTCCTACCAACTCTGAGCTTGATGCAGACACTTACCTAAGGTAAGACACTTACCTGCTTTAGGTAAGAACCTCTGCCTTTTCTGGAACCCCGGATATGGTCCAGATCGCTGCCGAGCTGCAGGGAGAGGCGGCTTTCAGTGCCGGCCAGCCTGGGCTGGTTGTCTCTTCTCTGGTCGGTTTCCCTCCCTCTGCATCCCCCTCATCCCTGCCACAGAGTTCCAGACTCGCCGTTCCTCCCCAGGTGGCAAGTCGGTTGCTGTTGACTTGGTTGCTAGTAGGGCTGGGACAAAAGTCCAGGCTGGGAAAAGATTGTAACAAAGCAGCTTGGGGGTGAGGGGAGACTCACCGCCCACTTAGAGACCTGGAAGCCAGGGCAAAGGACAAAGCAAACACTTCTGCCGGACATTTGGCACCAGAAGCAAATCCCTGCTTCTCAGTCTCATGCGCTTGCCTTACTGCGGATAACTGGCTATTTAAGGATCCTGGGACGCACCCTCCCTGCAGGAATATGTTTTCTGTTCATCTTGCATGTATTTGTTGGGGGCCGTCATGTGCTCAGCGGCAGGAGGGCTGCAATGTAGTTCTGGCACATTCTCTGCTCTTAAGAATGTTACAAGTGAGTTGGGAACTCAGTGCCGCAATGCAGGAGGATTTCTCCCGGTTTTGGAGACACCGAGAGGTTTCCGGAAGAAAGTGACAATTGCTTTTGGGCAGGGGAAAAGGTAAAGATGCTGATGGAATGATAAAAGCAAGGACAGAGACGTAAAATGGAAATCCAGCTTTGGCAAAGAGTCTAATTCGGGGCAAAAGAAAAGGCTGTTAAACCATGTTGGGTGCAGATCAAACAGGACCTTGCTGCCAGGCACAGGGTCTGGGAGAGGTGAGGAATCCGCAGTGGACACTGAAGTCAGAGACGCAGGTTCAGACCCCAGTTCCTAAATTATTAAGTATTACACTTCAAGCAAGTTACTTAACTTAGTGCTTTCTTCGTAAAGGGGTATGGGACATCCATGGAACAGGATCACGATGAATATTCAATGAGGCTGTAGAGTGGATTTGAGGATACAATTACTTTTGAAATACTTTGAACCTTAGTTTACTGCTTACTAGCTGTGTGACCTTAAAGAAGTTGCTTAAGTTCTCTGTGCTGCTTGCTCACCTATGAGATAGGACTCGTATCTAGATACTTAGTACAGTGGCTGGAACATAAAAGGTATATATATGCTAATTATTTGTAAAATATATATTATTTTTGTGACAGTGTCTCGCTCTTGTCACCCGGGCTGGAGCGCAGTGGTATGATCTTGGCTCATTGCAGCCTTGACCTCCTGGGCTCAGGTGATCCTCTCACCTCAGCCTCCCACGTAGCCAGGACTACAGGCGTGCCACCATGCCTGATTTTTTTTTTTTTTTGTAGAGACAGGGTTTTGCCATGTTGCTCCAGGCAGGTCTAGAACTCCTGACCTCAAGCCATCTACTGCCTCAGTCTATCAAAGCGCTGGGATTACAGACATGACCCACCACACCCGGCCCATGCTAATTTTCTTCCCCTTTCAGGTGGGCAATGGAAAGCTGATAGAGGATGCTGTGGAGTAGGGACCCAATGGGACAGTTCAGGTCTGGCAGCGTCAAGTGGTTTGGGCAGGTCAGGGAGATGACACAAGCTAGGGAAAAGACAAACAGCCTGCCCCCAGGAAGGAAGAGGTGTGAGTGGGTTCTGTGAAAATCCAGCAGGCTTGGCAGGTGATGGAACACACCAGAGGCAGGTATCAGGTTGAAACACGGATCAGCAGGAGGAAGATACATTATCCCCCCAGCTGATCGCGTTAGAAGCAGGGGTAGGTAGGCCGGGCGCAGCAGCTCACGCCTGTAATCCCAGCACTTTGGGAGGCCGAGCCGGGCGGATCACAAGGGCAAGAGATCGAGACCATTCTGGCCAACATGGTGAAACACCGTCTCTACTAAAAAATACAAAAATTGGGCAGGGCGCGGTGGCTCAAGCCTGTAATCCCAGCACTTTGGGAGGCCGAGGTGGGTGGATCACGAGGTCAAGAGATCGAGACCATCCTGGTCAACATGGTGAAACCCCGTCTCTACTAAAAATACAAAAAATTAGCTGGGCATGGTGGCACGTGCCTGTAATCCCAGCTACTCAGGAGGCTGAGGCAGGAGAATTGCCTGAACCCAGGAGGCGGAGGGTGCGGTGAGCCGAGGTCGCGCCATTGCACTCCAGCCTGGGTAACAAGAGT